CTGAAGTGGTGCTTTAGGGTTGCAGTCATTAGGAAAGGACTTGAAGTAGCTCCAAAGGGCACTCTCATCATTCTCCAAACTTCTGTTTCCAGCAGTGCGCTGTCCACTTGAGGTGAAGTCTTGAACCACAAGAAGCGAAGTGCATCTCTGTCGTGTTCTTGCAGGCCAATTTGAAAGAACGCCTTCTCAACAACAGCATTCATTGCTATCTTGTAGCGTCGGAAACGAAGCAGTAGCGTCACGTCGGGATTTAGATTTGGGCCGGCTTCTAAACTGTCATTTAAGGACTTCATCCCGGATTCGTGAGACGAAGCGTCAAACACAATGCGTACCTTCGTAGTAGATCGATCCTCTCGTATGACGGCTCGGTGTGGCATATAATACCGGGGTCCAATTGGTTGCTCTTCTTTTGAAGGTACTTTTTCTGCATATCCCTCTTCGAGGTACATTCGAATAGTTGCTTCGTATTGTTTTAAGAGCTCACTGTCTTTGTTAAGCTTCTTCATCAAACTGTGCAGATGTTTGAGTGCAACAGCGTAGTTTTCACCCAGACCAACCCTTTCCTTCCACGGTAGCGCTACTTCATATCGATTGTTTTTCTTATTGATGTTGTTCTCAAAATTTGCCAGCACCGATTCAGCGACCGTCGTTTCTTCATTTTCGGACTGGATACCGGTGCTTTCTATATCCCAGAAACGAGTCAAAAGTTTCGAGATATCTTGCTCGGTCACTGTGGATTGTAGGACTGCAATACTGGCACACTGTGTAACATCAGCTGCAGTAGACAATGGTCCTTGCACAGTCCATCCAGTTTCGTCTTGAAAGCTTTCAGCTTTTCGAACACAGGCTTCACAGTACCCATTACTATATCCCAATAATAGTCTGATCCAATAAGGACCGCAATCTGTTTGTCTTCTACTACTTGTAAAGAGAGAGGTGGCGTATCCAAGTGCATCTTGTTCATTTCTCTTATAACCTTTTCTTCTGGTACCGGAATGCATTCAGTGCATATCGTGTCCACCACCAGCACCTCTATTGAAATCAGAAGCTTCTGGTTCGCAGGGAGAATCGATACACGTACCTTTTTCATGGTTTTCCGTATGTTATAACCCCCGAAAACACCGATGGCTAACGTTTCCTCTTCTATTAGTTCGCATCCAAGTCTTCCATAAGCTTTGGTTGTAATGAAGCTTCGCTGACTTCCGCCATCAAAAAGGACTCGGTAGCGACCGTATGATTTGGTGCCCAATACGGTGGCTGTCAGACTCTGGAGCATTACGACTGACCTTGCCTGCTTGGACACCAGATTGACCGATGCAGATATCACCTTCTTATCGTTTTTGATGTCGTCGGATGCGCAAACAAATGTTGCGTGCCTTCTTGCGCACTTGCTGCATTTTAAACGGCTTCTTCAATTTTTCGCCATGTGGCCCTGCTTTAGGCAACGAAAGCATCGTCCAGCTTTGATGAGCATCTCCCTTTTGTTTGAGAAGTCGATATTCTTCGTATCACAGACTTCGGCAGAATGCTTCTCAGGCCGGCAGAACAGACATTGTTGTGGACTTTTTGTTGAGCTTTGTAGAGCAGCTGTCGTGGAAACGTCACGTGGAAGACTGTGTTTTAGTCCTTCCTTATCTGGGGCTCGACGAGTTTCTGTTACGTCTTGTTCAGCAACAGCTTCCCGACAAGTGGGTTGAAGTTCGAAGAATTCTAAAAGCATTCGAAGATCGTTATCTTCTGGAACCGTTACACGGTTTGAATTGCCTTGCGTATTCGAAGAGGATGCAGCTGACGAGGATGCCTTGTGCATCTCGTGAAAACGCAGCACCATGTCCGTCGGTAGAACTCTTAGCAGGATTTCCCGAAGCATGGAGCAATAAGTTGTCGAGTTTGTGCCAAGCGCCTTGAGGCTTCGAATATGAACCTTTACCTTGTCGTAAAGTTGCCTCGGCTTACGAACGTCTGCTGACGACGACACCGGCTTTAGATCCAGCAAACCTTGCAAATGGTCGTGCACTATGATCTGTTCATCTCCGAAACGCTTCTTTAAAATTTCAATAGCGTCTTTATAGCACTCTTCGGTAGCTTGTAATCCCGATATGGCCGACGCGGCCGCTCCGGTAACCAAACTGTTCAAGTAGTTGAACTTGTCAGCTATGCTTAACTCGCTATTGTTGTGGACTGCTGATGTAAACTTCGTCCAAAATCTCGGCCATAGTCTGCGGTTACCATCAAATTTTACGAGTTCTAGTTGGGGAAGCTTGCTTTTGCCAGATGATAACGGGTGAACGTTCGTAAGTAGTGGGGCTGGAGGAGCCAGACATTCATTCAGCTTGACTCGTAGATTCGCTGTGAGAGTAACAACCTTGTCGCGGTATTCTCCAGCGTCTAACGTCTCGCTGTCCAACAGGTCGTCTGGTGTCTCCTCAAAAATTGCCTCATCCACTTTGTCTTTCTGACCATAAAATGAGCTTATTTGGTCGAGGAATACACTTACTGCTGCTGTAGTGACGGCTTGATTTCCTCGCAAGTGGTCTTCCGCCTCGGACAACAGAACATCTAGTTGGGATCGCAAGCTGTGGCGTTGTCTAAGATATCATTCCATTCTGCCGCCCGGAGTCGATGTATCTCGCCAAGATCGCAGGTGCCGTCTTCCGAGGTGTAGCGGCTCCTAACGTCGATGATGTTAGCGTCGTCAATGGTCCCGGGTTTTCGGCACCATGTGTTGGACCTCTGAGCCTTTCTGCTGCGGCGTGGCTCGCATCAAGCAAAACACGTCTTGCCAGATGAAAGGCTTTAATGGAACCAAAGAAAGAAAAAGACAAGGGTGAGCCGATGCTGCCACGAGGCCAAGCGTCAGCTCGTGAGGAGGCTCAATAATGATGATGACTGCTATTCTGCTGCGAGGGATGAATAAAGGAAGTCACAACAGATGCCACTATCTTCTGCTAGCTGTCCCTGCGCCACCCACACATGCCATAGCAGCATTTCGCGACTATCTTTTCTCGCAAGTGTTTTACCGCAACAGTGGTATCTGCTGTGATCTCGATAGGCGCCCACAAGCATGGGCTACGATGAACTTTGTCAACTTCGTGGCAACCTCGCACGACGACCGCGACGACGCTCTTGACATTATAGCAAGTAACCAATATTGCAGCATACTACCACCGAAGCATCAAAACGAACTGTTGATTAAAGAATAATGACAGAATACGGCTGTTGCCCCGCTGTTGACATGAGAAGTTACTGTAGAAAAGGTAGCCTATGTCTTGTGTTCCTTGGACTACGTACGGATAACAAGCAGGAAGAGCAAATTGCAACCGAACCAAGAATCGAGGGTGCTACTGTACCATGTTATGGAATTCGTCACGATCCATTCTGAGCGACAAAAGACTTACTTTTTGTTTTTCAGAAACCTGGAACGCGATAGGAACGAATGGCCCTCCGCGACAGCTATGGCGACAGCAAATCTTGTCATTGTCGCTCGTAAATTGAAAGCATTTGGTTGGGCCTTAAAGTATCGTATTTGCAGGAAGCGACTGTCGGTCGGCGCAGGCAGTTTCATGACCTTTGCCCGCTATGTGCTTATCAGCTGCTATGCCTCAAGCTCGCACTGCTCGTGAACCCTGCTGTCACGCATAAATAAAGAAAATCTGGGGACTTGCCACGCATAGATAGAAAGCAAAAAAAAAAAAAAATACGGCACGCGGCAGTGGGTGAAGGTGGGGAGGGAGCCAGCCGAGGTTGCCGAAGAGGCTTGGCATAATAATAAAATAATAATAAAATCCGAAGAGATCCCAGCGGGCAAGGAGGTGCCTTGTGTCAGTTAGCGAGACAGCAGCGGATGTATGTAGTGGGTGCGTTTATTACGTGGGGAAAAATTTTGACGACTGAAGTTGAGGGTGCGTTTATTGTGTGAGTGCGTTCATTACGCGAGTAAATACTATGGAGTGGTCAGTGAGCAGTTGTGCAGTGCGAGCAGCCTGTTTTCTCAATCGAGAAACTCACTAGCAGACGCTGTCGGCATTGGGAGGGGAAGGAGGGGGAGAGACACGCATGCGCAATGGAGGTGGAAATATCGTGGGGAGGAATGCTTAGAGGAAAGAGAGGGGGGAGCAAGTGTAGGTTGGCAGACACTTCCTGCGTCGGTGTTGCGAGGTGAGAGAGGGGGAATAGACACACATGCACACTGAGGGTGTTCATGATGCACACCGAATTGAACTACACGAATTTGCCTGGTCTTCGTACTTGCGGTTGGTGAATCGCACTTGTGGCTTCGTTTATTGCTGGTTTCGGTTTCGTTTTGAAAGAAAGAACAAATTCTTTTCAATTTCATGACCCGATTCGAAATGGTAAGCCTAAAGGAATAAGGTGGTGAAACGCAACCGTTTAACATTTGTTGATTTTTCTTTCGTGAGAAAACAGCTACAAGACACACGAACACACATGGAGCCAGTAGCAGGCCAGAAGTACAAAGATTAGACAAATTTGTGTACTACCCATCATTCCTATGCTCGCTGAAGCGCCGTGCATTGCAGCTCTCATAGACACTAGCGCCAGAGTTCCCTCTAGCATATATTAGGAAACTGTATGCGTAGCACGAGTAGCAAGCTCAGTCTTCTTCCACAATCAGGCCACTGACCTGTACTCACTCGTTCTTAACCTGTTCTTCCATTACCCTGTCTCTCCAATTGCTTGTGATCTTTAATTTATATTTCATTGCTTGTAGCACATTCTATGGCCTTTCTCTTGAACTCAGTGTTTCTGATTTCGAGTTTAGTACTGGCAGAATGCTTGGTTAGTGGTTGTTTTAAGGGAATACTGCCAGTTTGTATGCCGGAATTGAGGCAGGGGTGAGTGATACATTGGAAATAATCCAATGCAGGAAATGCAGAAGTGTGAAGGAACAGAGTTAAATATAGAGTAGGCTTTTGTGTTCAGTGCTGTAAGTGGCATAAGCGATACAACGTAGCATGCGTGCCTGCCTATCCCTGTTGCAGATTTGGACAAGGCTGATGAGGCTGGTCATGCTGAAGAAGCCAGTAGCAGCAGCCAAGCGTGAGTGCATAAGTTTTTCCCTGCAAATGAGAACTCATTTGCAATATTTGTGTACATGTGCTTTGAGTTGTTGATGAATTTGCCCTCACGCTTTCGATTGCTAGCTTCCTGGTTAGCTTAATTGGCAGAGCAACCGCACCGGAATGGCATTGGTCCCGAGTTCGAACCCCGGGCCAGAACATATTTTTCAGCAACTAAGAAGCTGTTCTTTCTGAAAAATTCATGCCGCTTTGTGCTAGAACCGGGTGGTTGTCTTCTTTCCCTTTTTTAACTTTTTCTCTGCACTTTATTGATAGCTGTTTGACCTGCTGCGGTGCTCTAGGGGTCATGCTGCTCAACTGCTGACCCGAAAGTTGTGGAATCGAATCTCGCCCGTAACAGCCACATTTCCATGGAGGTGAAATGCTGGAGGCTTATTTACTTAGCCTCAAGTGCACGTTTTTATGTACTTTGATTTGGGCTAGCTGGTTCATAGTACTCAATTTGAAAGGGCTGTGCAAAGACAAAAGGAAAAAGAAAGACAGTTCTCTTTGTCTCTACTGTCTTTCTTTTTCCCTTTGTCCTTGCACTGCCCTTTCAAAATGAGTACGTTTTCAGGAACCTTGGTGGTAAAAATTTTCATAGCCCTTCACTGCAGCATTCCTCATAATAATATTGTGGTTTCAAAATGTAAAACCCTAGTAATTAGTATTACAACTGTTTGCTCTGCTCTTGATGGTCCACGAGCAACAATCCACCATTCACAAGAGCATCTATGCTCATTCTGTGGGATTTTGTCATATCAACAGGGGTGCAACAACCGTGCCAATTTGATACAATTCCCTATTGCTGCGCTGCGCTGTGCCAAAACCGTGAAATTGGCTGAAATTGCGCTATGCTGTGCCAAAATGCCCAGTCAACCTCAAAATTTTCTCAGGTGCTCTAATTTCGGCGAGAAATGCAGGCCACGTCAGCCACCTACAGTTTGCACCATCAGTCAAAGCGAGCGAACCCTAACTGTAGTGCCTAGAATATACTTAAAATATTCTAGGAACCCGCCCGACGCTCGCGAGACACTACCGACCAGATAAAGTAACAACGTTATGTGCCCATCGGTCTGCTGACCACAGCAGATACCTATTGGCAGAACGATGAAACTTCAAGATGAAAATGCGTTGCTGTAGCCACGAACGCTCGCTTTGCGGGAAATGTAAATTTCCTAGCTTGATAACGTGGCTCTATGGCTTTTTAGGAACTAGAGCTGGAAGCATATGCAGTGTTTTTCTCGTGCAAACAAGCTTGACGCGTTGCGAACGCCGGTGTTGCCAGCGACCACGTTGATTGCCTTAACAGTGACACATAAAACTTTTTTTTTGTCTTAAAGTTGCGTCGTCTCGGCCATGGTCCTAGCAATATATATCTGGTACCGTTGCAAGGCCAACGGGCGCGTGCTGTTGTCACTCTACCTGGTCGAACACATGTTGTAAGCAAGCCAAAGCTGCACCTAACCTAAAGTCAACGAAAAAAAAAGAGCGAAAATGGGGGGTGGGTGGGGGAAAGGCATACCAGTTAGAAAATTTCTTGGCTTTGGTTCTAACCCGTGCAGAGAATGCTGCTTAAGCCACCTTCGCCACAGTACACTGGTGCCGTGCGGAAAAGAATATTGAGATTTAGAAGGGGCTGTTAGCGCTAGTCATGGGATACTGCACATTTTGTTCAGTTATACGTTTGTACGCCGTGCAATTCTGAGTATCACTGTTGTATGAATAAGATACTGGCAATCATTTGGAGCAGTGTATGACACTTCTTGCCCCACCATGGTGGTCTAGTGGCTATGGTACTCGGCTGCTGACCCGCAGGTCGCGGAATCGAATCTCGGCTGCGGCAGCTGCATTTTCAATGGAGACGGAAATGCTGTAGGCCCGTGTGCTCAGATTTGGGTGCACTTTAAAAAACCGCAGGTGGTCGAAATTTCCGGAGCACCTCCACTATGGCATCTCTCATAATCATATGGTGGTTTTGAGACGTTAAACCCCACATATCAATCATGACATTTCTGCTCCACCCCTCCGCCCCCAAAAGAAACCAAATGTGTGCCAGTTTTTTCCTTTTTTTTGCCACCCCTACTCCTCGGTTTTACGAATCGATGAATTTCAAGGTCGTGAGCTTGGCAAACCCATATTTAAATTCGTAGAGTCTGTCAAATGATTTAACAGGCACAGCAAATGCTAATATAGGCTTTATCATTGTTTGCTCAATGGGTTGGTTCAAAATACTACTTTAATTGAAATAGCAGTGCTCATGTTTACACTGCACGATTTGGTTGATGTTAAATGGCTTACACATTTTTTTTTCTAAACATAATCCTTCTTTTTTATACTGCCCGAAATTTGGTATTTCATGATGAAAAATGCATGGTTTTTCCCCCATAACCTGCTCTAAATTTGGATTTAGTGCTCCAGAAGTAACAGTTTGTTGCTCTGAAAATTGCTCCAAATTGTACGTCGGCTGTTGCACCTCTGCATTAACCGTTTAATTTTCTTTTTGGGGGATGGGAGAGGGGGGGGGGAGTTTTTTTTTTTTGTCTGAAAGGATATTGAAAATTTTGCTTCTGATGAAACTTGACACAAAACTGACAAACTTAACTGACTAAAGAAGTTTGAAGTGAATCGAAGTCAAAATAGCAGAATGAATCGTATTGTTCAATGACCAATTAGTGTCTTTCATGATTTGATAGATATTTTCTTCACCGAGAAACTGGAAAATATAGCACGTCAAGTCATCAAAGTAAATTTCGGAGTCTGAACATATAGCTTCTCAAGAGCTGTACATTGATGAAAGTCTGCTTTTCTGCGACAATGCATGAGCAATGTACATATCAACTTCACTGGACAACCAATTCTAAACACAAGTGTTGAAAAAATGTGAAATTGGCAGTTAAAATGAAAGGAATTGCCAAGCTGGGCTGCCATCTATAAAGCGACATACAAACTATCTTGTAAACAAGTTAGTCTCGCTCTAAACGCCCTAGAGGAGATCGTCTCTCAAGGGGACGAGCCACGCTGGCTCAAGATAGTTTGGGCACAGTTTGGAAAAAAGGCGCTGTGCTCGTCTGAAACTGGGAAGGGGCTAACAAGGTCTTTTATTGTGTTCCCATTTGCATACTGTTCACTGATGCCACTTATAATCACAGCATCAGAATTGGAATGAATTAATAATTATGATAAGATTTACGGAATATTTACACACAGCAGAAAGTCCAAAAAGTCAAGTTTTTCAATACAATTACAATCCCTTAAGGGCAGAAGCAGGTTAGATAATGTTAATAAACTAGTTAGTGAAATACACATTTTTTACCATAGATTAACGCAATAGCACAAATGTTTCAAACAAGGTTCATCAATATAGTGCAAAAGTAGCACATCAAATAGCAACTATTGCTGACACACTAACAAAGATAAGTTATCTCAGAGTTGCGTACCATCGCCAGGCTTGAGTTTCTTGTGGGGCATTGTAATTTGGTCGTTGCCTGCTTTAGAGACCTCGGAATGTAAGTCGCACAACAAACTGAGATGCTATATGTATTCTAATTAGGGTGTGTGAATATCAAATTTTATAATATGAATGGAATAAGAATACACAGACTCAAATATGAATCAAATATTAGATAACCCAGAGATGCAATTTTTTTCAACAGTAATTCTCTACTTTACCATATGTTTATGTTGAAAACAGTACATTTGTTAGCTATGCAAATCTCTTATTGCACAAAAAAATGCCATCATTTGTACTTGCCAGAAAGCACTGTGCTCGATAGCCAAGCTTATGAGTATGCCACAGACAACTCCAGAAGAGCGCCGACAGCGGAAACGTAAGAGAGCTCCCATTCGCCGAGCCGATGATGCAGTCCGGGCACAAGAACAGGCTGAGGAGGCCGAATGAACTGCATATCGATGATCCGGCAGCCTTCTAAGCCTCGCTAAATCGCGAACGAGAATGAAAGTGTTGATGGCAGGTGGATTCTGCAAACCACGCCGCTGAGTTCGCTTGCAATTTCCAACCCTTGCAATAACGTGATGTCAATGTGACAATTGAGAGTGAGTGTTTGCCGGGGCGAACACCCGCTTTCGGCGGCAGCTTCTCAAGTGGCACATTGGCTTTGGCGGCGAGGTTTGTGACTGCGTGCGGCTCAAAAACAGCCACTGTGATTAACGCATTGCAAAACGCATTTAACCGCTCAATACACTCCTCCATGATCGTGATCATGCGAGTTACATTGTGCGGCATGTGAAATTAACACTGTGGTAAACTGAAGCCGATTGTGTGTATAACCTCGTTAAGAAACACAAACATGTAACCAATAATTGTGAAAGGCTTCAGTGCAGTGTCGAGTGGAACCGGCTGCTAAACACCAGGGCTGGACGTTTCAGCTTTCACTGGATCATTTGTATGGAGTACTTGGGCGGTGATTTTTTTGCTTTCTTTAATGTAACCACAACTCCCAGTGATGAGGGCACTATTTCGCCGCATTGTGATCACCTTGAGCGCACTGGCTGTTGATGGCAGTAAACTGACGTTGGCAAAATAGCGAGCTTGCAGCAAAGGAGTTATGGTGGATTGATTGCAGATGATGCTACCGCGCGAGTGTGATGTGCGTACGACTGATTTCCAGAGGCACTTCTGAAAGCACTGCTTAACCACGCAGTAAACTGCCTAAAATTTTTGTCACTTCAAGTATGCTGCCATTACTAAAAGAGAAATATATGTGATGACGCCATTGTGATGTTACCCAAAGTGCATGGCCTTTTCTCTGTCATTGCACGGTAAAACACTTCAGCTCATTGGTATGATCGCACGCTACCATCACATGTCGGAACTATGACAGGGAATACACAGAACCATCCGAGGAATACATGCGGACGTTGCTGACAGAGCGAGACAGCTGACGAACGACTCATCAAGTTTTCGTCGACGCATGCGCTGAAGTTTTTGCTATGATCTATTAGCTAAAACCGGCGCAG